TTTGTGACAAAAAATAATGAATCATCAAGTGTGACAATACTTATGAAAAAGGCAGTAAAGGACCGGTGAATGCCTGTATTATCGGTGTGGTCCGAAAGAAGTGTACGTCCAAGTCGATACAAATTGGCCGAGATGGGGAGCGTTAGTGATCAGTACCTGTATGAAGGACCATTCACGTGAGGGGTGTCAATCAACAGCTTCGGATTGTAAAACCAATCAATGATAGCACTGTCTTTCCTCATCCAAGCCTAGCTGAATCGCTTCGAAATGTTCGACATCCAATATGTTATCTCTGTAATCGAGAGGAGGTGCCTTGTCATCGAAGGGCGGGAAAGGAGTACGTTTGAAGTGTCGATGGTTGTGCTTTTCGCAACGCATGGCGAGCCACATACTACTCACTGTGCGTGATACACAGGCTCGACGGCTCGAGGGATTTCGTTGACAAAACTTATCGCACCCGTGATGAGGTAAAGAACAAGCACCTCTCGAACTTGTTCCCAAGAATACGGGATGCTTCTCAAGCAACTTCATGACCGCGTGCAGTACGAATTTAAGAGCACCGAGCTGTACACGTTTGTCATTGGGGGATTGCTCATCTCTACATTAGTATTGAATTTGATCAAAAGAATTGAAGAGAGGCACGCACGCGTATCTCATGACAGATTACTAATGGAATTATTCCATTCCTCTATAGACAAAGATTGCTCAGCTTTGTCAGCCGGAATAAACTATGTTAATCATCCAAGAAAATTCCCATGTTCCTCATCGGAAGAAGAGGCAATATCTAACTCTTCAACTTCGACTTCTTCATCTGTATTGGCACTACCATTTACCGAATCCGTATCAATGTCCACTCTTTCCTCATCTAACCCCTCCATTTGAAGCTCGTCTAAATCCGAACGTATATCAGTGTTGTCAAATTCACCACACAGGTTGTCATTGGAAACACCCAATTTCAAGTATAAGTCAGCCGGGACAGACGGCTTAGTATTGCTTGAATAACCACTGTGACCTATGCTGCCACCTTGGTTCAGAAAAAACAAATCTCTTTGTGCAAATCTTAATTCGAACAACTGGTAAATGCTTTGGTTTAATCAAGAACTAGGATAAAACTCACATATTTACATAAAGTGATTCAGGATCACCCACAGCACCAGGATCTTTTACATGGGCAAGACAAGATGGACCAAGAAGCTCTTTGGTCCGACCATAAACTACCTGTAACACTTATATTACTCTGTTTAAGAGAATATAAACATGCCAGATTGCTATCAACTGTATTATAAAGTAAATTAATACTTTTATTTTACATCTAAATATAATAATTGATTTGCTTTACAGCTTTGCTACTATCACGAACATTGATTACGTAATCACATGCTGAAGATCGAGAGCATATAATGATGCACTTACAGCTGTCACTCTTTCTCTCTGACCTCCACCATCTCTCTAAGTCTAACCCTCTGCCCTGACACTATGTTGTTGCTTTTGTTCTCTCCAGCCCAGTCCTCTGCTTGCAAGCGTCCTCCAGCAGGTACTCCGAGTGCAACAACACAGACAATAAACATTGCTGCAACTCGTCTCTCTAATCTACTGTTGCAGTGCCTGTACGGAGCCTCATATCCCATGTTGTGCCACTGATATGACTACACAGTCCTTCAACGTAAAGTGGTAAGCAGCCAGTCCACTTCATAATAGCCTGCACAATAGTTGCTCATCCCTCTCCTCCCAACATTTTGTCTCCCTTCCATCCCTTCCGCTCCTCACTCTGTGTCTCGTGTTGCCTCTCCTTCATTGTCCTCCTTTTTTTACGTTTGCCTTCCTTTTCGCATTCGCATTCACGCATCTTGTTGACTAATGCCAAACGACTCCTTCAATAACTCCATGCATCCGCATACTTCTTCCCACTCTGCAGTACAAGCAATAATCAACGAGCACATGCTTGCAACAATGTCCATGTACGACCACTCCTATGGTACCACCCTCTCTCTGATACTGTACGTGTTCTACTTCTCCATTCATTCCATGCTTGACATCACTCTTGACAGGTCCACCCTACTTGTATTTACATTCCTCAGTGCTGTCCATGACACCATTTAGAATAAGGTAAGCAGTGGCCACTGCTTACCCCTCCTGAGCCGAGTCTGTTCACGTCACCCATGTCACCCTCTCCCTTCGAGCCAGAACGTCCCAGAGATACACCTTTGCAATCACCCACAACAGCTAAGTTCACTGCACCTCTGATTACAAGACATAGTCAGAGCATACAACGTGCACGTATAGACACGGCTTCGCCTGCTGCCCAATCAGCTCGTTCAATGCTCAGGACCTTAACCTGGGTGCGCCACTCATCCTTGCTTCACACTGTCACGGTGCATCCTTCTTTTTGCTTAAGTACTAGCACACACTAACATTTCACTCTGTCAGTTCCATAACCTGTCTCACAAGCACAATCTCGACCTCTGCAACCCTCACAACATCACAATCCGCACACACACACAACTCGATTCGCTGGGACTGTGCAGCAACCAAGGCACAGAGACGAAGACCACATCAAACAGCCTGAGAACGCATTTATCCTCTTCCGTTGCGAATGCTGTTGGAGAAGGAACGAGGCAGGGGCAGCTTGTCATACATTGCAAGTACTGTGACTCAGTGTGAGTGTCTCTTTGTCAGCATCTACCGCCGATTCTGACGACTACGGCGAATTCGATTCGCTCTTCTCCGATAGTTCACTGTATGGCTGCCCGTTCGGATATCTGCACACGGCGTGCAGTAGCGTGCACGAAGTGGAGATGGCGGACTGCTGATTTTGAGATGGGTGATGCAGAGTGCTTGCAAGGACGGGGTCAACTGCAAATACGGTCATTACCGCTGAGCCTCTCGATGCCCTCGCTTTCTAGTAATCCGTCTGGATCTGGTCAAGGTATGAGCCTGGCAATCGACACCCGTAATGCACTCGTTCGCCGCTCGAGTCTGGTCCGATCCCAACCTCTACCTACTCGTATTTGCATCACAGCAGACATGGACACTCTCACTCGCTCTCTGCACAAATCTTGACGCAGACTGCACTATGTATGTGTTTTCAGTTTATTTTCCTTAATTATTGTAGATAATGATGTATCGTACAAATATTTTAATATAATTGATTTTTGTTATTTCAATAATGAATGGATGTAAGGGGAAATTATTATTATTAAGAAATAATAACTATGTATAGTCTGTAAAACATTACAAACATGTGTTACCCTTCCAAAAGTTGGTAATCCTTACAATACCTTTCAAAAAAGGGAGGTCCAATATTATGCATTTTATATGTTTAAAAGGGGTATTACCCTTATGTACTTTTATTACATTAATAAACCTTACAGTACCTTATACAAAGTTATACTACTTTATCAGAAATCGAGGTCCGATAATATGTAAATTACTTTTTTACTTTTTTACTTTTTTCACACCTTTATAATGTAATATAACCTTTTAGACTTTTTCCCGATGTTGGCGACGCGTTACGGAAGTTTGTGAACAAAACTTGTCCTGCATTTGCTACTACCGAACTCGCGGCTGAGACTCGCAAACGTGTCTCTCGTCTTGCAAAAAAGAGCAAGAACGGTGATATCAAGCAGTCCCAAGAGTTTGATCCCAATGCTTTACACACAAGGGTGAAAAAAACCTTCAACGCGAATACCTCGAAATTCCACTATATAGGGTATTATGCACATCATATATTAAAATATGGAACTACTGATTCGTGTAGTACAGGTATTGTGAGGTTACATTTAACTCCTGGCACTGGTGTCAATACTAATGTATTAATGTCAGGGAGAGTCCGAGCACAAAGTAACGAGACAAAAGTATGCCAGAACAAATCGAGTCAATTTTCTACAGCAAGTAACACAGATTCATCAGTGCCAGAGTACACTTGCTCAGATTGCAGAAAGAAATGATGAAGACGTACCCTCAGAGGAAGAGGAAGAGGAATTATCTCCTGGTGACGTCAGATATTCGATCGGTCAGAAAGGCACTCCAATTAGCCTGCCTGAATGGGAGCTCGAGTACCAGTTTGATCCTGCAATACAGGTAGACAATTGGATGGCATTGAGGTTACTACATACTAATAGGTTACTAGGATTTCAGGCACTGCTCATCCCAGCATTTGCTAGCCCAACTAAAGGGGCTGGATGCCTCAGACAACGAGCTTGTCTTTACACACAAGGAACATGTTGAGAGGGAGAACTTAAGGGGGGCACACATAGACAAGGGGTGAGGTGACGATTGACTGCTCAGTGTCTCTCGTCCTTATATTGTATGTATTCTAACTGAGACATTATGAAGTCATTGTCTCATGGTTTGTCTGTTGATGAACTAATCATCTCATAATACTCCCCTTCAAACTCTTACTAGTCTGAGTAAACTGGTAAGATGTTTGACTTGTGGTACATGTAGCACTTTAGTTAATATATCTGCTTGTTGATCGTTTGTCTGTATGTATTTTGCATTTATGTACTCTAACTCAATGTAGCATTTAATAAAATCTTTCTTATGATCTAAATGCTTTGTTCGTTCCAAATATTTGAGTTCGTCCAATGTAACCGTTTGTATAACAGCATCATTATTGCAATAGATATTAATTGGTGCATCAGAGACCTGCAGAATCTCTTCAGCTAAATGAGTAAGTACAATTGCTTCCTGTGTTCCTCTTGCAAGAGCTATTAATTCAGCTTCATATGTTGAATTTGCCACCAGTGTTTGTCTTTTACTTGACCACAAAACTAATGAATCACTCAAGTAAAATGCATATCCTGATATTGCACAATGCCCTTCTTGCATCATACTGTCTGCATCTGTATAGCCATTCAATATTGATTGATTTGTACTGCCAAGTTGGAGCCAGACATTGCTTGTAGTTTTTAAGTACATGTAACAATGTTTAAGTGCCAGATAATGCTCCATACCAGGGTCATTGAGGTATTTTGCTAACTGATTTGTTGCAAATGCTATATCTGGCTGTGTACAGTCTGCAATGTATCTAAGTGTGCCAACCATGTTCATGTATGGTATATCAGACATTTGTTTTCTATTGTTATTGGTTTGCAATACTGTTTTTAATTGTGTACCAGGCTGCATAGGTGTTTGTACACTTCATTCGTTTGTAAGTTTGTAACGTTCTATTATACTATTAATATAATGTGTCTGACACATCCTGATGAATCTATGCTCTCTGTTGCATTGAATCTCTATACCAAGTAGTCAGTGTAATTTGCTACTGTCTGTATATTGTAAATGATGTGTAATAGATTGTTTTATCATTACAATAGTATTATTATTCTTTGCCATGATAGTAATATTGTTGACATGTACAAATAATATAGCTACAGTTATTTCTTTCTTCTTTACAAAGAATACAGCATTATCATGTTCGGATTTTGTTAATCTGTATTTAAGTAGTATATTAGATAGTGTTTTATACCATCTTCTACCAGCTTGTTTTAATCTGTATAGCACTTTTCATAATTGTAATATTTGTCCATTCTGTAATCTGTTTATTAAGTTACCTGGAGGAGGTTTAACATATATTTCTTTGTCTTCTGTCAATTGTCCATACAGATATACTGATTTTATATCTATCTGATGTATTTCATAATTATTAGATGCTGCCTATGCTAATATTAATTACACTGTAGATAGTCTAGCAGTAGGAGCAAATAAATTGTCTGTATGATAGTCAAGGCCATCAATCTGATAGTTTCCTTGAACTACTAATTGTGCTTTATATTTTTCTATACTATTATTAGTGTATTACTTTATTTTATAGACAAATCATGTTCTAATGATGTTAATATTATTGTATGGATTCATGATTTCCTATGTATTATGATTTTCTAATTGTTTTATTTTGTCTTTCATAGCTGCAATCCATGAATCACAATCTGGACATTGGATTGCTTCATAAAATGAAGTTGGATCCAATTGTATTTCACTTATTTTAGCATTAAATTCTGTTAAATGAATGACAATATTATCTTCATCCTTTTTGCTAAGTGCATACATGTGTTTCATTATGTGTTTATTCTCCATGTGTTGTTCAAGCTTGATAGCATGTTCTGTCAGTTTCTGTTTCCATTCCAATCAACATAATTTAGGTTCTACTTCTTTTTCAGTTAATTTAACTTTGTTGTCTATTAAGTCTGTTGGTTCTGCCACTTTTCCTTTTTTGTTAGGATCAGCATTGTCTGTATCATTGTCATCCATTCTTGTTATTCTATTGTCTGTTTCATTATTTTTAATTATTAAATGCTTGTTTGTATTGTTGTTTGTATTGTCTATTTTCTCCCCTTCAATTTGAGGAGGTTTACCTTTGAGAAATTGAATATTTCGTTCAATAGTAATTTTATTATCATGCCAAGTTTTATGACCTTTACTTTCATTGTCTAATCCTATCCAACAAGTGATAATACCTTGCTGTTGTATTTTTGTAGGATTTTTGTTGCAAATGATAATATATTGACCAAATTCATATATATTATCAATTGTTCTGTGTGTTCCATAATGTTTGTAATGTAGGGTATTATAATTTAAAGCAGTACACAGTGTTCTATTATGAATATAGGTAATATGAATTGCTGCTTTGGCCCATAATGTAAACAGTAATTCAGTAGATGTTAGATATGCTCTTACACCTCTAAATATAGTTTTATGAGTTTGTTCTGCTATTCTGTTCTGTTGTAGAGTATGATGTACTGTTAATCTTTGTTTTGTTCCTTGTGAATCTAAATATTGTTGGAAATCTTCACTAAGGAATACAGTATCATTATCACTTTGTAAAAGCTTTATTTTAACTCTGTACTGTGTAAATATTTTAGTTGTCCATTGTACATATTGTGTATATGTATCAGATTTTGTTTGTAATTTGAGCATTATGCACCAACAAGTAGAATCGTCTACAATTGTTAATAAGTAGCATATGTTCTTATATGTGTACAGTTCAATAGGACCAATGATATTAATATGAATAAGATCTCCAAATTGATTTGCAAGAGGAGATTGACATAGTTTTGGTATTGGTGTATGTTTGATATTTGCTTTTATACATTCAATACATTCTTTTTCTTTGTAGTTTGTTATTTTAGTTGATAGTACACTTGGTTGTGTCTTTAATAATTGTTTAATATAATTGTAACTTATGTGTCTGAGGCATTTATGTATATTATAAATAGATAGTTTGTTCATTGTTTTTAATAAATAATTATTGTACAAAATATACAAGTTATTTCTCAATTGTATATGTCTGATGTATTTGTTACATAGTAATGTTATAGTACAATTATTGTTTGTAAACATAAAAGAATAACCTTCCCTACATAGTAGTGCTTGACTTATGAGGGAAAAGGTCATTTGTGGATAGTAATAAATGTTTTGTAATGTTATGACACTTTTTTCTTGTATATTCTTCAGAATTTCAATACACATAGATCCAGCTCAATTAAGAGTCATTGTTGACCTATTTACAATAGTTACAATTGTAGGAGTTATGTTGTGTACATCTGTTAATCGAAATAGATAAGGAGTAGCATGTATTAATGTACTGGAATCGAGTAAATCCATTGTTTGCATATAGGATTTCTTGTTAGCTATGATTGTATTTGTAAATACATTAGTACATACTCAGGAAATGTATTGTTCGAATTGTTTGTCCTGGTTGCTTGGAATAAGAGTGTAGGTGTTATTGTTCATTTCAATGTTGCCTTCTTTTAATTCAACATTGTTTTTGTTTGGGTTTTCAATAATAAATGTGTTTGTTGTGTTTTCTACAGTTTGATTTGTTTTATACACAATGTTAGCCTAATGTTTGGTGTGTGTAAGCTTTGTAGCTTCAGTAGGAGGTTTGTAGCATTCCTTAGAGAAATGTCCTGTTTTTCTGTAATTGAAACATTTTGCTTTTGTTGGATTGAACAGATTTGGCAGATTGAATTTCCTCTGCTTATTAGCTTTATACATTGTATTAATGTGTGCATTATTCTTTGTCCAATCATTGGAATCTTGTGCTTGTTTAGCACAGTAATTGTTGTAGGCATTCTACAATGTAAGAATTAGTTGCTTCAGTTTGACTTTCTTATGTTCATTGACTGGTTTGCCTTTGTTTTGGGCATCAGTAGATTGTATTATCATATTTACTATGTGTGTATATTGCTCAGGAGTAGCAAGCAATATTGCTACTTTGTATGTAGAGTTGTATAGTGGATCACTGTTAGCAGACAGAGTTGTGTATGCTTCCTCAAGTCTGTCTAATGTATGTCTGAAATGTTTTACATAGTCTCTACAAATAAACAGTACTGATTCGTTAATAGCCTTTTTACATGCTGTCTAGGGGTTAAAGCATTCTTCAAGTGCTTTCATTAACTGAGGGATAGACATATTGAAGTGCATATAGTTTGCCAATATTGTGTCAGCAATGTTATTGACTATACATGTATGAATGGCCTTAGCCATCTCCCTCTTGGCTTTGTTCTGTGGTTCATCCTTTAGTAAGTGTTCAAAGCACATAGCTGTAACACTAGAAACAATACAGTAGTGCCACATCTTGTAGTTTGCTTCAGTCTTAAGCATTGTGATGTTTTGACCAAAGTATTTAGGTACATTGGCTGGTTTACAGTGTGTATCTGTATGTGGGGGAACCATGATGCAAATGTGTGCAAATGTATACAAGTAAAGAGTTTAGAGTGTACAGTGGATGTGTGTATGCAGGGAGCTCAAGGCTCATAACCTGTTGAGAGGGAGAACTTAAGGGGGGCACACATAGACAAGGGGTGAGGTGACAATTGACTGCTCAGTGTCTCTTGTCCTTATATTGTATGTATTCTAACTGAGACATTATGAAGTCATTGTCTCATGGTTTGTCCGTTGATGAACTAATCATCTCATAATAGAACATATGCAGCTCAGCATAGTGGATAACAAAATGTATCAGCACAAGTGACTGACTGTCAATTATACCACATATGACATACAGTGTCAGAGAGAATCAATCAGTCCAACTGGCACAAAGCCTGATATCATGGTTTGGGCAAGTGGAGCTACAGGCCAAGAATTGTTGTATTGGTATGTGCAGGTTCATCAGGAAAAAGTCAGATTTCTTGTAATTTCTTATAGACTTTGTAAAGTAACATATGTATTGTATATACATTATAAAGTAATTGTAAGGATTGTAATTGAATTGCAATGTTTAAATAAGACATATTAATGTATATAAAGACTACATAAGTACTAGGGATGAATAAAATCTATTACATGTATTATACTAACTTTGTATGACAACCTAAAGTGTTATGCCTGTATTATATTTAAATTATAATCTTAAAGAAAGAGTTATATTTATAATATAATAATGTAATAATTACTATTGTTACCTTATAATTTATACAAAAGGTATATTAATGTATATTATACTTAGATTATTTATACAAGCAGTTTACAATTATTGTAAAAGGTATTTCATCTACTTGTAATAATTACATCAGTGTGTTTAGAAAGCTATATACATGTCATATTACTTTTTACTATATTACAAAGTAGATCAATAAGTTTATTTTATATCTAAATACAATAATTGAAATGTTCTATCAGTTGACGACTCATATTATAGTTGCTTACGTAATCAACTGCTGAAGATTGGGAGCATATAATGACGCATTTCACTTTGTCACTCCTTTACCTCCTACCTTTACCGTCTCCCCAACCCTCTGCCCCCAACGCTATGTCGTTGCCTCTGTTCTCTCTAGTCGAGTCCTCCACTCGCAAGCGTCCTACCGGCAGGCAATCTGCCTGCAACAACATAGGCAATAAACATTACTACACTTGTCTCTCCAATCTGCCGCTGCGATGCCTGCACTGGGCCTCAGATCTCGCGATGATGCCACTGAGCTGACTACACTGTCCTTCAGCGTAAAGTGTAAGCAGCCAGTCCACTCCATAATAGCCTGCACAATAGTTGCTCATCCTTCTCCTCCCAACTTTTTTGTCTCCCTTCCATCCCTCCCGCTCCTCGCTCCACGTCTTGTGTTGCCCCTCCTTTGTTGTCTTCCTTTTTTTACACTCGCCTTCCTGTTTGCATTTGCATTCGTGCATCCACATTGTTGACCAATGCCGAACGACTTCTTCAATAATTCCACACATTCGTGTACTTCTTCCCGCTCCGCAACACAAGCAACAATCGACGAGCACACGCTCGCGACAATGTCCCTGTACGACTACTCCCATCGTGCCACCCTCTCTCTCACCCGGTACGTGCTTCTTTCCCCGCCCATTCAATGTTTGACATCACTTTCAATAGGCCACACCGCGTGCATTTGCATTCCTCTGTGCCAGGCATGACACTGCATTGAACGGAAGCAGTGACCCACCACTCACGCTGCCTGCACTGAGTCTGTCCATGACTTCCACGTTGCCTTGTCTCTTCACGTCAGAACGTCCTAGAGATACGCTATTGCGATCCATGGCCCAGCACACCACACCCCCCATTGCTTGCTTTAGCAAGAGCATACAGTACACATGCACAGACACGGATTCGCCTGTAGCTCAAATCAGCTCGCTCGACGCTCCAGATCTCAACCCAGTACACTACCCGCCCTTCCTACACATTGTCATGGTGTGTCCCTCTCCTCACTTCAATTACCTGTACTTGCTAACAATTCTGTCCCTTAGGCAAAGACCGGTCTGATAAATATTCAAAGTACGATTCTCTACGACTGGACACTCCTTTCCTTTCCTTTCCTTCTCTGTTATTTATTTTTGTGTCTGCATGATTGTTTCACAAGTACAATATTATTAGAATGAAATGTAGTAGAAATAAATCAATGCAAGTGTATTAAAATGTAAATACTTAATTATAAGAGGAAAAAAGGAGAAATAAATGAACACCTGGATTGCAAAATATTATAACTATTTTAAAGCCTTGTAAAGCTCTTATAAAGTATAATAATGTTTAACAATATACATACTACTTTTAAGGCTTTGCATTAGATTGTATACATTATAAACCTATATTACTCTTGTTAAAATACAAAGTTCTTTTAATATCTTTTCATTTTAGGAGGTTGGATATAAGTTTGTTTACATATTGTCAACACTTATAAACCTTATTCATATTAACAATTTGTACATACCTTTTTGTATCTTACATAGCTTTTTATAATTTTCTCATTTTGAGAGGTTGGATATATGGTCTTTTATATTTTTTAGAAAATTTATATAATTTATATGTTTATAAGCTAATATAAGCCTTAAGACTTTTTCCTGATGTTATTGGTATATTCCACTTTGATGCCTTTCTCCGTTCGGTTGAAGGATCATCTCCAAAACGCATAGATACAATCTGGGTTCAATGGTTCGGCAGAACAATTGAAGACAAATTTGGCAGTGATACTTGCAAACTTGAACGAGTTAAGTTTGTCACAAAGGAGGATGGTTCTCCCCTGTTCGGCTTTTTGGATCCTGCATGTATAGTGTGTGCTGTGCATCTCATTCCTGCGTTTTGCGAAATCATTGTATAGATAATACAAACTGTTTTACAATGTAAATATAGGACTGTCTTCAAAATTATAATATAGGTATAATGCTTTAGCTTATAATTTAAGGTTATCATATTGTATTCAATGAATTGTAATCATTTACAACACTTTTAGAGTCTTTATATACTTTAATATACCTTATTTTATCCTTATAGTTGTGTTCTAACCCTTACAGTTACATTATAATGTATATAAAATGTTTATACTACTTTAAATGGACTGTAATTCATTATATTATATCTGACTTTTTCCTGATGAAATCGCCGCGTCTCAAAATGCAAAGTTGCTACGGTTTCATCCGTGTGAAGCCGTGACTTACACAACGCGTGTAAGTTTGCTGTTCGATATATAAGAGTTTGGATGATGGTCTCATGCGGCTCTGGAAATAAACCATCAAAAACTGGCAAAGCACACTGAGAAAACAGTCAGTGAAACAGTTGGGGCTCATGTATTCCTGATACACACCTGCAGTAGATCCTCAAAACTATATCCGGTCATTTGTTTCATGTCCGAAATGTTTCCATTATAAGTTCTGATATCACAACCGAAGGGAGGCACACCACGAACACTATCCCGAGACAAATGAATTGAGGGAGAAAGTCAAATAAAAGCTTGATCCCACTGCTTATTCAATTCATTGACACAATCACGGTCCTTGAATGTATTGAGAATCCTTACCAGGTGAGTGAAAATCACTTTCCAAACACCTACTTCCCATTCGTGTAAGGTATCCACTACTAGGATCTTATGAAAATCAAAGCCCAAACATCCCAAGCGTTTTGAAAAGGCATTCTAAGCATCAAATCAAATCAAACGAATTTCTGTCAAGATGAAGTGGGTCTTACTTCAACAGGAGCCAAGGAGCGACTATCTAAATGGTGTCGCACTTTCGGGTGTGTCAACCGCTTCCGCCCTCTGTAAATCAACTCTCGCGCCTTCTCAATTCTATATTGCCGGTCGAAGTCGTCAACCCGTTGGAATTTGGTGCGGTAGCGCATATCTACTGCCTTGCCCAATGACGAACATATCTTATCGATTGGAATAAGGCAATGTGGACACAGATAGTTGCCCAAGAATTTCATTGTCGCCAAAAGAACCCTAAAGCATGATGAGATAGGTTATCAACCTAGGAGAATAGAACTCACCTCTCAGGATAATCAGCAGAATAGGTCAATATACGAGGAAATAACCGACACAGAATACCATCACCACACAATACAAGAATACCAGCTTTCCAGGCATTGATGAATTCGTTGTCCAACAAAACAAGCCAAACGGCCTGCATAATTTCACGCCGGCAATGCAATTCAAGTTCTGCCGAAGTCTTTTTCCCCTTTGCATGATGCTCCACAAATTCTTTAAAATTGCTAGGCAGCTATCCACAAATTTTATTAGTTTTCCATATTATCCAGAAGTAAATGAGGACATACTGATGGGATAAATGCAACTGTGTGGGTTGCTCCCGATCCAGAGCACTGCCTAACGTATTTCGATTGATTTCCGAACTGTAAATAGATGGGCCATAACTTGGCGCTTCCAAACTTTGCTGCCGACATGCCATCCGACCATATTTGCATTGCAGCAACTGCGCGAGGAACTGCATCTCCATCATTACGAGGCTTGCAGTGAATCTCCTCGTGTGCATCTCTGAAAGACGATGACCAGTATAACTCCCCGTGTACAGCAATATCTTCATTGGTATCAAACAGTGTATATCAAAGCTGATATGGCTCGTAACAAAACCCTTTGCTTGCCTTGGCATTGCAAAAAACTGAACGTATGACACTTGTGAGTGACCAGTAACGAAAATTCTTCACTTCATAGACCACACTGTCTGGAGCATCAGGGTGAAGATGTCCGATAGGAACCGAAATTGATATTGATGTCTCCCTCCACCCATCATCTTCAAGTGTACCATCGGCCAACATTTTATTTAAAGAGCGTAAATCGGCATTTGCAAAATCGTGCTGTTGCCATTGACTGTCTTGTATTATCTCCTGGAGTCGCGTCAAGTCTGCAAGTGACTTTGTAGGCGACGAAGACCAGAACCATTCGAATATTAGGAAGGTGCTCCAGTTTGGAAGAGGCGCGTAAGTGTTCAGAGCCTCCACGGATAATTGTTCACAATTATGGGTTTTGACCAAAGACTTCGGGCGCCGAATGACCTTGTGGAGGCGAAACGCGTTGCGTTGCGAACATAGAGTCTCAAATTCCACAGAAGCCATATCCTCTTCTCCCTCCAATACAACAAGTGTTGATGTGTCATCATTTTCCTCGACCTGCTGATTGTTTGGCAGTGGCAACAACTGTCTAAATCGCTTTGGGAGGATGCGGGGACGAACAGGACGACCAGCTGCTGACACCATCGACTGCAAAGGAGGTTGCTCTTCCTCAGTAAATTGAACATTCAAATCTTGCAACGATTCACCGGTCCCAACATGTGTTTCCCCCTCTGTGACTGCAAATTCCTTCACAATTCATGAGGGTGAAGTTCGGATCAGAGTCCATCTTTACTCACCGAAACTGTTGATTCCTCTGGTACAGTTCGACTTCCCTGTATCCTTGCCCGTTTCCTCTCCTCTATTCGCATTCGAACATCATTATTCAAACGTTTTGCAGCCTTAAACAAACATTTTTGTTCGTGCCTGGAACGGGCGCCAAGGGAAGAGAAAGTTGCTTTGCACCCTTGTCTCTCACAGTAGTACATGACAAAATGACACGAAAACCGTGTAAAGCAATGATCTACACTACTCAGCTAGCGATCTAGGGGCTGTGTGCACGAAGATACATGACATCTTTACAATAAATACATAGAGAAAGTGAACAGTTTTCACATAAACTATGTAAGATGGTAACGCAGGCCCACATTGCCTTCTTTTGCAACTGCTTGGTAACAAAAGTTCCAGAAATGCCCAACTTATCCCAATCTTATCGAGAATGAAACGCAAGGTCTTTGCAGGCTAAGAAGCGTCCAAGGCGGGTACAGCATCCAGTCGATTCGCAATTGCTGTAGACCCTATCAGAAGGGCGCACAGGAAAATCATAGAGGAATATGAAGGACAGCATATTTCCATTGATCAACTGTCTGGTAAGTGGTTCAAACGCCTTACGCGGTTGATGGAAGGACACCTTGCTGAGAAATACCAAGCAGGGTGCTCAGAAAAAAGCAAGTAGATTGCGTTAGATCACAAAACAGACACACGAGGGAATGAGTGCTCACCAGGTCAAGCACCCCTATCCATAGTTCCGAAACTCCATTGTGTTAAGTAATATCGGACTACAGGTCGCTCACATCGTTAGCGAATGGCAAGGACCTGGGTCGACTGAGAGCAGATCGGATAGAGATGGTGAGAGGGGAGACAGCGAGTCGGTGCTGATTCAATACGACATCAACTGTGATCAGAACGGAACTTTAACATTAGTCATGCTAGTCACGTGGATCAAGCGAATTAAGGTTGGGAAAATATAAACTCAACCAACTGTGACGCGGCAGTACTAGCCTCTTTTGGGCCATACAATGATGGACGAAATAACTTCCTCAAATAACCTCAAATGAATATTTGGGCAACATAGAATTGTAGAGGACATCTGTAGCTACAAATGTATGTTTTTATTTTTCAAAAATATTAAGTACAAATTTTTTTATTTTCTAAGAAAACTTTTTTTGTTAAAATGGTCTAAAATTGCATTTCTATGAGTTTGAGCACTACTTGAAAATTTTCGACCCAGATTTTTGCCGCTTATATAATACAAAAAGTTATGTAATAGTGTTAATAATAATACATTTGTCAGCATTTTTTAAAGTAAATTTTTCCAAACACTTAGAAAGTTGAACAAACACTATATAACTATTTAAAAACTAACTTTAGACATTAATAATTGTATCTGAATAAGTTTTGAACTTGCTAGAGTGTTACAATCCTCTACTCTCTTACCTTTAGTTCTGAGGGTTCTGCACCCTTCTGTACCAGAACTCAGGACTTTTGTCCCTTAGGGGTGCTGTCTATAGACTATATGTGTGCTGACTCTTACTACTACCCTTCCTTACTTCATCATTCCATTCCTTTGACCACTCCTTTATTCTCTGTTCATTCTATAGTCTCTTACCCTTTGTCCATCCCTTTATTCTTTGTACCTTTATCTTTAACATTCCTTTCTTTCATTCTTTGTGGCTTATCATTCTTAGTAGCTCATACTCTCTAAGTACTCTTGTGTAGTTTAGTATATATAGGCATACAAGATCAGACTAGTCCTGTAGTCTTGATCTTATCTACTCTAGGTAGTCCTGTACTCTTAGACTCACTCTATATACTCTACTCTTGTCTCACTCTCTCTCTCTGCCTGTTCTACAAGTTCTGACTATGTTCTAGTACTTGTATTCTGTATTTCTGTTGTGTAGGATAGTTGTAGCCTGAGTCTCCTTACTAAGCCTTTAGGTCCCCTCTACACTGTTACTAACATCAGATTAAGACTCCTCATTACTACCCTACAACTCTCTTACATTTTGAGCATCAGTACTTGCTATTGTGTCAATCTCTTTTCTTTGTCCTAACCCTTTTACATTTTTAAATTTTAAACTTTCTAAACCCTTTTAAACTTTTGCCACCCTTCTTCTATTCATTACCCCTTTTAGTTTAGTGTCAATTCCTTTGTAGTGTAAATATGGACTCTCTTATACTAACTGCCACTCCTACTGTCCTGCCAGATTAGTAGTTACAAGTAGAACTAGCTTAATACATGTAGACCTCTATCTAAGAGGCTTTTACTAACCATATACCCTTAACCCCTTTAGAACCTGTTCTGATTGTTTTAGAAGTTACAACCTGTTCTAGAAAGAAAGTGTATGTAGCCTACCCTTCAGACTTTAATAAGTAGTACTTTAAGGACTTCTAGCACTAAGTTGAACTATACATGACTGCTACTTTAACTAATCTATTCTCAGATCTTAATTGTGTCCTATTCATCCTCTCCTTTATGAAGGAAGGTAACATAGCTACCTGGGCCTAGAACTGGATTGAAGGCTATTAGATCAGAAGCCTGATCTGACTTTAGAACAATGAGTTGTATTCAGAATTCATAGAGTAGCTCTGTACTTCCTTCATCAATCTGAATAAGAAGCACAATGTGTAGAACAAGCTTGTGTCTCTGTAACAGGACAAACATTCTACTAATACCTTCTTTCAGGAGTTTAATATTCTAGCCTAGAAGGTAGGATTTGTACTTAGGTTCAATAATGTCCTTATTAGAATACTTGAAAAAGCTCTTCACCTGGAACTGGTTAATAAGATCCTTAGAATGACACTAGAACTAGTTACTTACACTGAGTGGAAGACACACACTATCTCCTTCAACTAAGCTGTAGCTTGAATGTGTCAAGTCTGTACAGAATGCTTACACATGTGTCTAGCTCTGACAGTTCTAAGCCCTTGAATTAATCTACCTATAATTCACAATCAATCTGTTCTAATAGACATTAGAGAAGCCTGAAAGTAAGGAGTATACTTTGTCTACAGAAAGTCAGAGTACTAGATTAAGGACTGTTTATAGAAGTAACAGTATATCTGTCAGGTTATTAGAGTAATAATGAGTAACAAGCAGGATTTGTAGTAAGAAGCCTTTTCTACAAATTCAGAAGTCACCTTAGAACTCCTAGACTCTGACTACATACTTTAGGATTTTGTAGAGGCCTAACAGTAAATACAGTACTAAAGGGCTATGACTTGGATTTTTTAATAGTCACTTTTGATTCAATAAACACTGTAGGATTAGAAGTAAATAAAGTAAGAAAAGTAGAAAAAGTAGAAAAAGTAGAAAAAATAAATTAACAAAATTATTTATTAGAAAGAAAAAAGTTGGAAACAAAAGTAGATAGTTCTCCTATTTCTTCTGATTCTTTTAATTCTTCTCTTTGTACTTTATCTAAGTCTAAATCTGTACAATCTAACCTGTCACTTTCATGTTCTAAGATCTTAGAATGTTTAGAACACTATCTAGCCCTGTTTACTACTTAGTAGTTTGTTTATAGTATCAAGTAGGGATAGTCTCAGCTGAGTTCACAGCTGAGAACATGAGTCTGTCCTTATTGAAAGAGAGAGGTTAATAAGGAAATGTTAGTACATATACTTACCCTTTCAGACAATAAGACTGTACAAGCTGTACATTTCCTTCAGAACAAGTAGTAGTTTATCTAAGGATGTTCTAAGTACTAGCTCTAGGTTCCTGTCCTCTTAGCTCCCTTCTTAGGATCCTCCCAGATCTAAACAATAGCTTTAGTAAACAGTAGATACACTAGTTTGTACATTAATAAGACTTTTGTGTAGGAACACTACCTCTCTACTTAATGTGTTCTACTTCCAATCCTAGTATACAATGTAGACAGAACCCTAAACTAGAATGGTCAGATTACTAAGTTTGTCCAACTATGGATGACTATTCAGGATTATAAGGAAAGTATTGAGTTCAGAGTTACTAACCTTAGAAAGACAGACATCTTTATTAGATTCAAATGGCTTAAGACTTACAACCCTACTATTAACTAGTTAGAACAGACACTTGTGTTCAATCAGTGTTCTGAGTCTTACAACTACCTTGTACTACTGTTCTAAGTAGATACAGATGCTTCTAATGTTACTAACAGTTCTAATAAAGGTGACCAGTTGTTCTTCTTCAACTAGGATAAATA